CGTCTTTTTTTCTTTGCCTTTTCCTCGGAGATGGGTATATCACCTACGCTGCTCGAGAAGAAGAGAAGGGATAAGAGAGCGACGGGTGCGGGCATCTTGTAGGGGTGCAATCCCATCGGATTTATATGTATAGGAGCGGGCAGGAAAAGAGAGGAAATATAAAGAGAACCCTGTCCTTATTTATTGCCCGATAAACTCGAATTTCTTTATCTGGCACGGCGAATAAAATTTTATTATTTGAAAATACTCCGACATGCAAAACACCGAGAGAATAAAATTTATTTTTCTCCCTTTCGGGTGATGTGCCAACGCGGTGGGCGAGAGAGGAAGGTGCAGGTGCACCACTTTATTTATTAGCCAGCAACACCCTCCCTCCCTCCCTTTCCTCGCGCCCCCTGCCAGCCACGCAGCAGTGATAACATCTTTTTATTTGCATAATGCACGCAGCCAGCAGACGACGAGGTGGGATTAGCCACCGCCTAAATGCAATTTGCGCTGCCTGAAGTGAAAAGGGGACGATTTTTCACAGGCAGAAATATCACTACAGGCGGGGTACATGAACGAAAAGATCTGCAGTTATTTCTGTCCAAATTCATTTTAAATTAACAAAAAAAATTTTCAGGCCTTAAATTATATTTTAATTATTTTGTTATACATACCAATTATTTATAAATGCATATAAATTAGTATGAATTTTAATCAATAATATATAATCTTCTTTTTTATTAAAATATATTCAATTTGTTTTTATTTTTAATATAATTTTGTTGCAATTTGCATGAAGGTTCAACTACTTCAACTAATTCTTAAAAATTTACAATAAGACATTAACATTTGAACTTAAAATATATATAGCACTAACATAACCAATACTCTACAATTTCAATGTCAATTAATTAAGAACGTCAGAGATATATAATCATTTTATGCAGCTTTGTAAATGTAAATAATGATAAGAAAGTTACTAATAATATTAGATTTTTTTTTTTAATATTATACTTTTTCAATAAAATTTTGATCTTCCTGGAAACCTACTAATAAGGTCAGGCCAAAAAAGATAGCTCATGTCGGTTCGTAATTCAATAATCCATCTCGTTGGCGGGGCAATAAAAATTGCTCACGCGAGAGCAGCGGCCATTGGCATGGAGGGCCTCTCTCGACTCAATCCGGACGCCGCTTGAAATATTACACCGAATTTGAGTGCGATAGATGGCGAGATATCCGGCCGCTCGTATATTTTATTATCCTTTGCCCGCGCCGCCGACACACGCATTGGTATGCAGGTTGCATAAGTACATATTGGTCGAGAGAACGAGCGAAATATATACGGCGGTTTGTGCATTCGCGGCACGCAGACCCTCGCGCCATCCATACAAACTCTGTGCACGGCCGGGCGAAAAAGTAGCCGAGAACGGTCTCGCTCGTGCTAATGTAAAATATCAGCACATCCCTCTTCTTTGTCCCTTTGCTCGGCAAAAACCGGCAGCTAACCTAATGGCCGCAACAATGGCCGAGTTAATTGAAGAGAGGCTTTGAAGCTACCCACGCATAAATAATGCGATAAAAATCCCTCTCCCTTTATTTGAGATTTTGCATAATTGAAGACGGGGGTGACGACAAAGAGTGTAATTTAATTCAATGAGACGGAATCGGGCTGCAGCTGGAATTTTTCGGCGCTTAATTAATTTCAGGCGGAATTAGCATTTCTGCCATATTTTCCCGCTCGTCCTTTTTAATTGCAACATTGTTATAATCTCTCGACTTTTTTTCAGAAGCAGCTTTTTTCTCTCTCTCTCTCTTCATCTCGCCACACAATGACAATGGAGCACGACCATCATGAATGAATGCATTAGTCTGTCCTGCAAGTAAAAAAATTCAAAGCGAGGTGTTGAATTAATGCTCGTGTGCAACTTATGCAGAGAAAATTTGAATATTCGGGGGGACTTCTGTCTGCATGTTGCGTCAGCACCCCTGCCATCACGCTTCTTTGGGTATTCCATTGTTCTTGGCAGGAGCGCGCACCTCTTTTATGCAAATTGACGGACGTCCATTTCTGGTAAATAATTAATTCTGAGAAGCAGACATTGCATCAAGTTGATATATTAGCATTTGTTCCAATGGTGAAATGCTGATTTCAAGCAAATTTGTAAAGACAAATGTGGGCTTCATTGTCTTCAAAACACCACAATGGTTCAAGATTATTTGTTTATTTAAATCAACGGATCTGAGAATATTATGAATCAATAATAGTAACTCTGATCGTTAAAAATCACTAGAAAAAATTAATAGTAAAATATCTCTGACAAATAGTTTTATGATAAATTAATAATTTTAAAGACGTGGTTCATTTATCCTTTCTCTTCAATTTAATTATTATTTTTTTTATTGAACTTAGAATTTAATAAAAGACCGACGTGTTTTTGATTATAATCATAATTTTGAGCAGCCCTTCAATCGAATTTCTATAGTGAATAAATCATAAAGACCTGAACTTTACTCTTCATATTCATTGATTCTTGAAAATCATATTTTCTGCTGTTTTATTTTTATTTTATTTAAGGTTAGCCAAAATAGTTCTTCTTCATTAATTAATTAAATAAAATTAAATCAAACTACATCAATATTAATTTCATCTTTCTTCACAAAGGGTGCGAAAATTGAATGTTGTGGCAAGAATTCTGGAACCGTGCTTTTCCCCATAGTGTTTTCGGCACAGAAAGCCAAACCACTTTTGGCGTGTCACGAGCCAATACACACTCGCACAGAGCTCAGTTACCGCACGGAATCCAAGCCACAACACTAATTCGCATTTGCATCCCTAGAGGGATCGTGCGATCTGCCGCATGTATGTCGTCGCTCCGCCAAATTCCGCCGGATTAGAAGCCCGCCCGTGAACTAAATGCCGCATGGCAAGATCAAACAATAACTCGGGCGAGCAACAAGGCAAGCGTAATTCGCCTCGCAGAATATCATAATAATGATAATTCAGCGCGCTCTGTCACGGCTCACAATCAAACTCATTACTTACACCGCCCCGAGAGCTGGGGTTTATTTGTCCCTGTGTGTGTGTCTTTGCCGATGGTATATATATAGATTCTGATGCTGTTATAATTTGATACACGGCGAAGCCCCGAGGCAATCCATATGGCACTCAATACCAGGCAAACTAATCAAACACTGTCGCTTTTGTCGGCGCCGTATTTAATAAATAAACACACACCGAGCGCTAACCCTTTAATGGATGCCGATATACGTTGTTGCGGATATTCATTTGTCATGCCATTTGCCGCCGCCGCCGCCACATTTGCCGTAGTCAGGCTGCTAATTTAATTTGATTCGGATCAATCATTTTCCCGAGGCTGCCACAGCCCGCTGCACCGCCAGGGATTTCCACCGTTGGCAGCTCCTCTCTTTCGCGCTGACTGATACGTGATGCGATTTTTATCGAGCCAAACATAAACGTGTCGGATTTTGATTGGAAAAATCAACCGTGCCGTTTTGTGCAGTGAATTTATTGACGTGTCAAATGGACACGGCGGCTGTAAATAAAAATGTTGTTTTCCAATTTGGTGCGAATTCAACAGAGATTTTTTTTTTAGGGCTGGTGAAAACGTAAAAATGTGGTTGCGATTGGAGAACAGCGATTCAGCAATCCAGAAAAAGGTAATTTGAAGCAAATGCTTGACAACAGTGGAAATGAAAAATTAATTACAAATTAATTCACCTCTTTGGATTATTATTATTTAATATCTCCATTGAATGGAGAATGAAAATACAAAAATTCACTCTGCAGGCACATCATGTATTAGAATTTGTATTGCAGAGTTCATTAAATTATCTCTGATTGTAAGGGTAAAATTTTTGGAATTATCACACATTCCATCAATTTTTAATGCTCTGATGGACACAAAAATATTGTTTTATCTCTCTCTGTTGTAATGGAAAAAATGTATCCATTTCCATGGCTTACGGAAATATTTTTAGATATTTGTGGGTTAAAAATTGTATGCCCGACACTAAAATGAATGTTAAAATTTCCAGTTTTAAAATTAAAAATTCCTAACCTTCACAAGAAATAAAATTTTATGGCGTTTTAATAAAAATTTCAGCCAGTAGTTATTTGGAAAGAGAATTTTTTGGTAAAAATGCAACCTGCGTCACATGCGAGTCAAGAACTTGCCTAATTTTCTTTTTCTTTTGAAAACGCAACTTTCTATGATCAAAAATTAACTTGCAGAAGGCTCAGGTTTTTTTATAAGTAAAAAAGTCTCAAAATAGTCTTTTTAGCCGTAAATTTTCATCAAATTATATTCATTTGTAAAGAAAAGGAAAATAGATTTGCGGATTTTTTGACTGAAAGTTTTTAAAATTTATGACAGCTAACTTGAATAAATTAGAAACTCTATTTTAGTATTGTTTGGTATTATTTATAACTGGAGCAATAAACCTGCTTCATATATCACATAATTGAACAGGATAATAAAAAAAATGTTTTGTTATGAAACAGCAAATAACAATCAGGCTCGTTTGAGAATTTGATGTGATTAAACCGCGATGTATAAATATCATTGACCTAGATACAACTTTTCCAATTTCGCGGTGCGATGCAACTAGGTGGTCGGATGGTGCATCATGTCACAATTGATCAACTGACTGCGTATTTACATTATCCTGTTGCCGTCGGAAAAAGGCAAGGTTCGCACGGGCGACGCAAACCACGTCCTTGCGGGACAAAATTTGTTATCGCACTTTTCCGGTGTGTGAAAATCATCAAGGTCTTTAGGGTTGTTCGGTACGGAAATTTTCCAAAAAACCTTGGTCGCGGAAACCGAATTGCGAAGGCCGAATCGGCGCGTCCGTCCGTTTCGTATTACAGGTTGACGCGCGAGTTTTTTCATAGGTATCGCCGGTCGGTTGGTTACCTTGGAAATCGCCACACAATAGCATTGATGCCACCGCAGGGGAAAATATAGAGTCGCTAGAGACAATGCGGTACTCACCTTGTCATCCTCACTCTCGCTATCACACTGAAAAGAAGAAAACACGCATTTAGAGCAGGCATAACAGAAAAACACACACAAATAAACCGTAACACAATAAAACAAATAATGCATCATAACACAATCAGTGAGTGAGCGTCCAGCATGTAACTCAATAATAATAATAATAATGGACGGCCAGTCAAATAAATAAATGAACAACTGAAGTGAATAACCGTGGGCATTGTGTTGTTTTGTTGTTTTAACCGTTTGTTTGGACTCGGGCATTTTGAAAGTTCCAGCAATTGTTGCAATAATATGGAGTTAAATTAGCCTATTCATTTCAAAAAGACAATGTAGGTTTGTTTGATATGAAAGCTAGTTGAATAAATGTTTATTTGGAAAATCATAGATATAAAATTATTATTATAACGTTTTGTCTTGCATATTTAGTTTGATTAAGTCTAAAAGAATCCCAGAAACTAAAATATAGTTTCAAAATGGAACATAATCCGACCCTTTTTCGTAGAAAATAATATTCAAAACCTGTTTTATAGTATCTGATTTGAAACAAAATCATACAATTTGCAAAGATCAACGTTTTTTAGAATACGTTTCGATTTCAATTACGAAATAAAATCACCGGTCTATGTATATGTACTGGTTTCAAAATGCCAAAATTATGAATTTCTTAAATAGCAAAAATTTTCGGTTAAAATATTAAAGAAAAAAGAGAAAAATAAATATGAATGGAAGATTATATGCCTAATCATGCAATATTTACTACCAAAATAGCGTTTTGGTGTTTTTGGGAAATTCGGCTTTTGCTAATTGGACTTTTTGAGCCGTTTATCGATTTTTAGAAGAAAAAATTTAATACCAACTCTTCACTTCATCAAGGAAAAGCTGAACTTCAATTAGAAAGTCAGAAAATCAGCCTCCTATAAACGTGGAATTCTCTGACTAAAGAGTTTTTGAACGTTAATAATTATTGTGCTTGTATTGAAATAGAGGATGTACTTATCAAGTTTATTTTATTACTAAAATGAAAAGGCTATATTTTTCAAGTGGTTTCTTTCAATATAATCATTAGGTAAAATTAGTAATTTGAAATTAAAATCGGCTTTCCCTCAATGGGTTTTGTGAGTTGTTTATTTTTTAGGGAAAAAACAATACAGAACTCGTAAAACTCAATGAGGAAAAGCCAATTTTAAATTCAAATCACCATGAATCCACTTCGCTCGTGATATTCTGTCACAAAAATAAATAGATAAGCTTGATTTCTCACAAAATAGTTAAATTTGACCCTTACGAAAATTAAAATGAAAGTGTTTGTGCCATTTTGTGCAACAATTCCTTTTTTACAAATGTATTGTTTTCAACAATTGAATTTGATACAATAATTTTGACACGTCAAGAACAATAATAATATTTTACACTAAATTAGTAATTAATTAATTATTTGTTACAAGAATTATAATTTAATTTTGAACTGAATATATTGTATGAGAAATTTCCCAGAATATTTCATTTTCATTTGATTTATCTTTTGATAAACCACTCCGTACTCGGAGTGACTGCGATAGAAAGTGACAGACGAGCTTCTCAATATAAAAACACGGATCACGTCTGCAGCCGGTGTCACTGCGTTTCCCACCAAGTTTAGCATTGTGCGCGCGATAGAACTGTCCGAACGCGCGGCTGTTGATTGCGAAATTAATATGCGACGCAGGCCGAGCGAGGGACGCAGTGAATACCTCATGTGATGAGCTCTGCGGTTTAATGCCGCTGATTAATATTCACGGCGTCAGGCTAGGAAGGAAACGGTATTGCACACAAGGTGAATCGTTCGAACCGTGCATGTGTTCGCGCTCATGACAAATATACACACATATAATTGCAATACTCAATGGATTTGCTGGAATTTACGACATTACGCCGTGTGCACATTTCATCCCCCGCGCGCGATGTATGCAGATTGCACTAAAACCATATTATAATGCCCGGTGGCGAAACATCATGCAAGGGTCGCTTTTCAACTACACCACCCATACATAAATTGCTGCGCTAATTGATACAGATGGCATTAATTATGGCGGTGAAATGAAGCCGACTTAATTCAATTACCAATCGATACGTTGCGCGATTATGTGCCAAGCTTAATAATTCCCGTTTTAATCAAACGTCAGTTGCCGCATTTGCAGTGCACTTTGATGGGGTTAAATAATGTTAAATGCCACTGCTATGAGAAAAAAAAATGTAAATTAAATGAATGAACATTTTATGTGTAAGTATAAAAGAAATAATTTGATTAATAAATGAATTACATATAAAAATATGAGTGAATTTTACAAACATTTTTGTTTTAAAGTCGTCGCCAACTAATTAAAATTAGGTTAATAATTTTGTCATCAAAGGCCTCTGAGCTTATAAATAAATTTGATTTTTGCTTTAAAACATGTATTTCATAATTGATAGAGTGATGGTACTTAAATAAGAGGAATTTTACTATTGAAATTAATTTTTTTATCTTGTTCTCAAATATCTTTTTTATTTATTTTTCAGTGAGACTGTTTACTATTAATCCATATCAAGTTTTTATAAAAATATATTTCTTATAATTATTGATTGAAACAGATTTACCAAATTGTATGAGTAACTAATGTATTTTTTTTTTAATTCGTCTAAAATACTTCATCCAACTTTAAGAACACAGCTCTATAAAAGTAAACAGAGTTAAATGAGAAAATTAGAAATAAAAGGGTTGCATTACTTGTCGAGCTCTCTTCCTGCATGTCTTTCTTTCAGTCATTAAAACCAGCAGCGAGCTCTATTCAACACTTTTTTTGTCGCCGTATAATGAATAAAAGCGTTTGAAAGCAAAATGAGAGAGATGCACGTTAAAGTTAAGTTTGCAGCAGCAACTCGTGCAGCACAACATTGAGAGAGAGAGAAACAAATTTCCAGCACGTTCACAGAGAGAAGAAAAAGAGAGACGGCACGACAACATATTCCATTCATATATATAAATGTATGTGTCTTAAGTATAAACTACGGATATACCATCAAGATTAGCAAAAACAGCACGTACCGCAACTCTTTTAAAGCTGAAGTTGATGAGATGGGATTAAGTTAAGTGGAGAGGAAAGAAGAAGAAGAAGAAGCAGAGCTAGTTTTAATACTCGCCGGGCAAAGGCGCGGGCCTTTGTTTTTAAATAAAAGAGGAAGAGCACTTTCGCATCATTTTATCTGGCGAAATACAAGCAAAGGCCTCCTGAACGAAGAGAGAGGAAAAGTTTTTAATACCCTTGCTCCTTTTCGATAGGGCGAGGGTTAAGATGCCGCTTTAATAATAAAGGGGGTGGCAGGAGGGTTGCTCTTCGCTTCCCGGCCGGGTTAATAAGAAATTAATAGAGTGACGTCACAAATCAATTAGCGCGGATAGCAAGAAAGGGTTTTGTGTAATCGCGCGTGCCAAAAGAGGCTCGTCATAATCATGCTGAAACCCAGCAGCGCCGCGCGAATCGCAATTCCTTCTCTGGAGAATCTTCAAGCTACACCACCTAATCAGTGCACCAGCGGAGGGAGGAGCAGATCATGCTCCATTACTTCTGGCGCAAATTATATGTAGCAAACACCGGGGAGTTGCGAAATTGCGCTCCAAGGTGGAAAGCCTGGAAATTTGCTCGCTGCTAATGTGAGTCGCTCTTGCTGCTCCTCTGGACGCGTTAATTTAACTGGCGGGGGCACAAAGTGAAGAAGTTCTGACCTCGTTAATTCGCAGTTTGAGACTTGCGAATCCAGGGTGCGGAATAGTCATGAAAACTGCAAGGAGAGAGATTCTAAAACTAAGTAGCTTGTTCTACACAAATGAGGTTAGCAACTTTTCATATTGTAGAATAAATTATAAACTTTTACATTAATTATTATTTTAAATTTTTTAAATTATAGGCTTCAGTAAATTAAAGCATATTTAAACTTGGAATTATAAAAATTTAATATCTGTTTAATTTTAAAATGAATAAAATTAAAAAGGAGAAGATGGCGGCCGTTCCTAACGAGATAGGAACTTAATAATTAAAATTCAGTAGAAATTTAACGTTCATTAAAAAAAATGCTTGTAAAACAAATTAAGATTAGTCAATCAAAACTAGGGTTGCATGATTTATTGAAAGGCTTGAAAAAAATTCCATAGCATTTATTCAAATCCTCTCTTATTTTTAAATTTAACCCTTATTTTCTCCTTCACCTCACTTAAGCTTTTAAATCCTCAAAACGTGTTTTAATTTCGAGCAGCCAAAAGAATTTTACACAAATAGACCTATTCGAGAAAAGAATTCTAAAAATCCGGCACTCAACAAGCCCGTCCCTTGCAATTAAACCGTTTTGGTCGGGTTAACAAAACAGTGGAAGAATCTGTCTAAAAACGCTGCGTCTGGCTGCAAACAATGGATAATTATCCGACTGAACCAACACTCTCGAATCAATTACAAATTCCTCGGGACCGCCATTGAAACGCTTTCAAAGGGCCAACTCAGCTCATTAAAACGTTCTGTGTAATAAAACGTGAATGGACGACGAGGAAAACAATCGCTAACCCTTCTGCTAGGGCATCATCATCAACACCCTTTATATAAATAGATGGAAAATCTGACCACCGCTGCGGACACATTACACGGCCGGCCGAGTTAATTAAATTCCATTTTACACCCATTATGCAGCAGGCGATGCTTTATATCTATTCGCACCGTCCATTACATTTCACCCCCGCCCACCCCCACCCACCTATGACCGTAAAAGCGAATTATCCGTCTCTCTCGTCTCGTCGTCTTTTATTTGCGGTTGATGAGAGCGCAGAGCGTGTTGGGAAGCAAAAGTTGGCACTCAAATTGGATTAGCGCGCCGGCCTGGCTATCCGAACTGGCCTATCAGACCATAATCCACTTAATTACACGGAACAACTGCACCGCCAGCAACCCCGCGCGTGATAAACCAAATTATACACACAGCACATCTGCTAATGCGTCCAGCCGCCCGCGGCAAATGGA